CAGTTTGAGCTTGATTATTATGTGTGCGGTGTTGAGGAGGCTATCTTTTCACTATAAATGTAGCTTTATACAATAGTTGCAATTTTAAATGATCTACGATGCTTTTGGATTTTTCTACTCTTATTGGGCTCTTCACTAGGGGAATAATTGTGCCTGAAGGGGCAGACAAGCCTTTGCAATTCGTAGGCTTTCGTTCAAATGAGATTTCATCGCACGTCGCTATAGGCATGCATTACACCTATTATCTGCAATCTTGATTAATGATGTCTGGACTAAATCGGTGCATGTAGCCTAAGCTAACGATGGTAGGGTAGACTTGTCACTCAGTGTTCCCCATAGTAGCATTCTCGATCCATGTTTATGGAGTTGAGACTCTCTGGGTTTGTTGGTAAGCAATCTCCCTTTGGGAAAAGTAATTAATTCTTTAAATTGGTCGTTGTATTAAATAGGAGCTACGAGTACTTCTCCTTTTCTTTGAAATTTTCTATTGGTTCTGAATCATTTATTTTTTTCTGCCTAAATCCAATTCACCAAGTTACAAACAATTTTCACTCCGAAATATTTAAGGGTTTTTTTTCGTAATAATACTAGTGAAACTGTGTACCGATGTCCATCCTTTACTTTTACGTAATCACGCCCTTAGGAGCACTATGTCATCTCCCGCTACTACCGACCGCAACACGTGCAACCGGCTGCACTGTATGGCAAGGTGAGCTCTCTCAATCGACCCAGCTACGATATGCATCGCATTGATGCCGATCAATTTACCAGTCTCTTCCATGCTCAAACGTCGTGGGGACACCTTTCGCTACCCCTTTTTCGGCTCCTCGATGCTGATAATGACAATCTAATTAATATGCGTGTAAGTTGGAGTCCTTTTTCTCTTTTTACAAGTCTAATTTTAACCAGTCTGAGAATCGCCGTGCTTGGAAGTTATTGGTTTTTTGCCTCACTGGCATCATGTGGAACTGTTTTGAGTCTCTGAACTATTTCACTGTTACGTAATTTACATTCAACGAAGATGAATGGTATATGGCTGACGCTTCTCTCTTCACGGTCATGCTACAATTTGTTTTCTTTCTTCGCTTCTCAATGATTAAAGATTCCTAATGCTCGCTTGTATTCGAGAGGCAGTACAAACCAGCGCACACATTCGCACTTCTAATTAAATCGCTTTTAATTTGGGTAATTTTAATGACCAAGCAAAACGAAAGGCTGAAGGGAGAGAAGCAAAGTGACTGTTGTTGGGCTCTACCAAGTGCGTAGTAGCATTGTCCGACAGGGTAACAGTTTTTTTGCGGTTATTTGGGGAAGTAGTAGCGGTCATCTTTGAGGGACACTGTGCTTTTGGGGAATGCATTTAAGCAAATCAGGAAATCTGTGCCGCTTCATTCGCGCAGCTCTGTATACTAATCCCTTTTGCGTTAAATATGAGACGTTTAGTCACATCAACTAACTTACCTTTCCGTACCACTAATGTATGAGTGGGACGACAGTTGTCTGGGCACAGCAAATAAGGCAGTAAGATGGTGACAAAATTCAACAAACCCTTCTTGTTCTTCCCTCTCTTCTCAAGTGGGAGCGGTACCATCTGGAAAAAAATAGTAAAGCTATTATCAACGCAGTGCTTGTAGAAATGCTTATCGCACCTGTTGTCGTTCCCATAGGGGTCTTCATTCTCCCGAAATTTTCTATTCCTATTTCTGGAACTTAAAAATATTTCCACTTGTCTACTCTCCATATCAATTAAGCTTAATTTCTTGGGATTCAAATGAATATTCCTGAAAATGGAGTCTCTTGTAGTATCACAAGTTTCCTCCCTTATGTCACCGCCTGTAAAGCTGTGCAAGCTAAAGTACGGTTTAAGTGACCTTTTTCATGAGCTCTTTTCTTCATTATGGCTGTATAGGACTACGTCTGGTTGTTGCTTCTAATCTCTTCCTCTGACTACTACGGCAAACTGCGTCTTCTCTTTACCATTCACTCATCGGAGTACCTGCGACCGGAGGACCGTATTGGATTCTGGGAGCAACACTCGTCACAGTCTCCTTCCACCGCTTCCTGTGATCTCTCCTCATCTTACCTCTCCGGCATTGGTGTAGAATGCGCCGAAGAACTATTCGAAGAGATCACTAATGCCGATTTCAATAGGGTGTCTCGGAATGAGAACGCGGTAGTTTCCTCCAAACCCCCGGACATCTTGAAAAGGAATGGCGGTGCTCGTAGTATAGAGTATGAATGGCCAAGTTGTAGAACTGCATTGACCACTATCTACACAGGACCTATGGCCTTGGAGAATCCTCCTCCACTTCCAAAGTCCTCCTTTATTGATCTGTTAAAGGTGGGCAACATTGCTTTGAGATAGGGATTCTAGCAACCGCGTTTTGCTGATCCGTTTTTTAGCTAACTCTCAGATAAGGCGGTACTGTTGCTAGGACTCCCATAGAACTCCCATTTTACTTATGAAAATCCACAGAAATAATTATTTTGGGTTCAATATTAGCTCACAATGTGTTATTGCTGGATTATAGCCAATGTCCTTGCACACTCTGATACTTGTGGCCCTTTCCATTTGGCGATTGGTGCCCTAATTTGGCCTAATTTTAAGTGCCTACGTAATCTAATTTGAGTGACCCCTACGCATTTGTCACTCCCCCCAAGACTTGGGTTTGTTTTATTTGTATGGTAGGTTTTAATTTATTTATCAGCCATCTTCTTTACCATAATCATGACAAATGGTCTACTGCCGTTCCATCTCCATCTCCCATTAGTACCTACGTTGTCCGGCTAGCCAAAAAGGAGGATTTTTTCGATTTCCATGTACTCTGCATCCTCATTGGTTTGATCCCTAAGCATGCACTGATAATTGCCTACAATTGTCTCTTGGATGCATAACAACTGGTGAAATCGTGTCATAAATCCATTTTTTATCACTTAGAATAATAATCCTGGCCATGACATTTGAACGGTCGGCACTACCTTAGTGTTTGCTCCTTGTTGATTAGGGCTGATTTTACTCAAAATCCCCAATCCTTTTGGATATTTTTGAACTGTGATATTGTTCGTCTCTCTTCTGATCATAAAACACATTTTTAACCAAATCTTTTAGCAATTTATCTCGATCTGACCTCTTTCCTCTCCAGGCTGCTTGTTTTCAAGCTCGTTAGCATATTTTGCTGTTTAGCACCACCGTCTTCGATTTCAATTAAATAGCACTAACTCTATTGCAAACAAGACGGAGGCAATGTCCAACAAATTGACAATGCAGATTTGAGTTTTTCGTCCGCCTTAATGACCAGCTGAGAGATCGCCTTGCTCTGATAAGCGGCCACGAGGCGCGCAAGCACATGTAGTGCCAGGAGCAAAAGCGGCACTAAGAGAGAGGGAAGTAGATATAGAACAGTGCTAGTAACTGCGCAGTTTGCTTATTCCCTCTGCTCCATTCTGGTGCTGCTTCTGATGTCGTTGTTGTCATTGCCAATGTTGTCGTTGGAGTCACTAATATTCATCTAGTTTCTCATGCTATCACTTATAAGTGTCCGTGGAATTGATAGTTTTCGGTTACACTTGAACCGAGGAAACCTAATTGGCACTTTCATGAGCTTTACTTACACGCCTTAGTCATGGAGGATTATGAATCCACTCACCAACCATAGGCCTCTAATTCATTACTCTCTTTTGCGTTCACCTGATTCCGTTAAAAATGTGGCTTTCGGTCTGAAAATGCTTTCGTTTCAACTCAAACCTTAAATGAGGTAATAAGGCGGCACTTTGGTGATCAATGTAACAGGTTTAATGAATGTCTGCTCAACCTTTAATTGTTCTGGCGGCCTTGGCCTCCTCAGAGTCTATGGGGACGACAATGGCAAAGGCCATTTCTGATTGGCTTCTCATTCAGCCATCGGCCCACATTTCCTGTACTCCACCTTTTTCACCTGAGTTTTTTGGTTTAGGTATGTAATCTTCCCATTTTTCTAAACCCTCTGATACATATTGGGGATAACTACTTGCTTTGATACTGATATGGCCTCCCATGGATTATGCTTGCTTTTTTTGCGAAATCATGCAACCATGTGAAAATGGATTGATCATTTCTGCGCCACTCTGCCGATAGGGTTACTGATTATAAGGAGAAATTGTGAACTCTATGTTAGCTTCAAAATTGACTACCCTGTCCTTGCATGTCTACTAGAGCGATCTACCGGAATCCCTTAGCAGTCTGAATGGATTATGAAGAAACGTCGGAGTTATTGTAATAATTCCATCCCATGCTTTTTGTTTTGGAGAGAAAATGGGATTTAGGGCAGTAGAATCTCAGCCTGATTTTATGTCAACTTGTTAACGCCTTCAGATGTCCCTATGGGAGAGTGGTCTTCTGGCAACGTATCAGAAATCGCGCGTACATTAATGGAAAATTTATTTTGAAGAAATAGTGGCTTGTTATTTCTGTCAGAAAAAAAGAAATGAGTCGGTAATTTGACAACAGCGAAAGGTAAAGCAATGACATCTCTTGTAGACAATCAGCGCTCTGGTGACTGATCAAAAAGGCGATCACGAGTTGCTCCATGCATTGGCAAAAATTGGTAAGCAGTGTCACCTAGCTGTTATCAAGCGCAATACAGGCCTGAAGGAGAGTGGGGTGGCGACGGACGTGGTGTGGGAAATTGAATTTAACGACTTCATGGCGGCGATTGATGCCACACCACTAGTGTTGCCTCTTGCCCATGGATTTACGATGATGGACCGGATTCCTGAGGCCGAAGAATTTCTGTCATCCTTATTATCCTAACTGCCTTTTATTGTTTATCATTTCCTCGCCTGTTGACTTTCCCTGTTTTGAATTCACTAGACTTTCTCATCGTTTGCGCATGCCAATGAAGCAAGCATGCTCTTTGGTTAACTTTTCATGTTTATCTATTAATCCATAGTGAATTGCAACAACCACTAACCTTTTTTATTCTTCTACTTGCATATCAACGCCAACGAAAGTTGAACTCCTATATTGGAAAACAAGCCACTTTTTTCGCATGTTTGAACAACTGAAGCAGGTTATTTTAATACCTGCCAATGGATTGACGCTTGAAAATTCAGGTATGTTCATAATAACAACAGAAATGTGAGCGAAACAGAACTAATCAGAAGTTCGGATTACACTAGTAGCTTCCGGTCCCTCTGTACGTTGACAACGCATGTTTCGCTTGAGTATTATCTCTTTTCGCCTTTAAAGAGGTCTCAAGCCGCCGTAGGGCGAGTCCATCCCAAAAAAACCGATACTAAGTACAATGGAAGGAAAAAATGTGTTGCAGGTGGACAATTCTATAAAGATCTTCAACAAAGGACTCGAAAATTGCTTCTCGGTAAATATTCAATCGGCTGGTGTTCAGGAGTGACATTTGGAGAATTTCTATACCAAGCTGCCCACGATACCTGTACAAAGCTGTCATTTGGACGAACATGCTGTCTTCATCTCTTTGCCAGCTGAATAAATCCATAGTGGTTGTCTGAAGGACACTACAGTGAGAACAAGGTAGCAAGCAGGAGTAGAAGACCTTATTCCAAAAAATCATTTTAATTCGGACTTTCATCAAAAGTCTATCTTGAAGTCAGTGTTCCTATGCTTAGCGATGGAAATAGGCGACGACAAATAGAGTTTCTGCCCTCAATATATTTTTAAACAGGGTACAATTCCAGATCTGATAGAATTGCGAAAGGGGATCAGATCAGTTCAGTTGTATGCAATTTCCTTGAATGGCGTGGTTGGCTACCATCTAGCATTTCTTACAGTGATATGTTTTCAACACTCCACGCAGGCCATGGCGATGGAGGCAGCGAGATGCTCGCTTTTTCAGCCAATTTATCACCAGACGGCCAGGTCGGTGGGCCGTACCAATAACCTCTAGGGTCTTCTGTGAGTCGATAGTCTTGGGACGGTACAGAGGCCTTGAACGGTTGCAGTGTAGAAATTTTCAGTGTGAGGGGTTTTTTTAGGTCTGTTGATAGTCTTGCAGACACAAATTTTGCCATATTTCGGTCTCTTAATCGCTTCATTCAAAATACTTCAACAATACAGTGATTCTGATTTTTATTTCAAAAAGCCTGGAATGGTGTGTACAAACGATTTAGCCAGTAAAAAGTGACAGTATAGGAAAAATAGAAATTGCTGAGGGCCTTTAATTAAGAGACTAACCATTCGACATCTTTGCGGATAGTAATCCTATTAACTGGCCATAATCGGACCTGTCTTCTCTGACCACCACTGTATTTTCGCCTAATTATTCGAAACATACCACACTCGAGTTGCAACGAACTTTTAAGATCAAAATAAGTGTGGTTAAGAGAAGCAGTTACATCGACTCCAAGGCGATTCGCATTCTGCTTATGTTTTCCTTATACTGATGTTTGTTGACGGTGGAATTTTAATACCTTTGCTTTCCTGAATGATTGGTCTTCTTGAAGTTTAACCTGATGTTAATGTAAATGAGCTCACAAAAGTGAGGATCTTGTAGTCTATTCCTCAAGTCTGACAATACACGAACGCTTTTAGAATGCTTTGACTCCTCATGCTCTGAAGACATCTCATTTGTGCTCTCGATAAACGGCATGTCCTTTGGGGTCTGACGCTAGTTCCCTTCTCTGAGCTCTAGCTCCTTTCTACGTCTGTGATGCATTTGTATCTATTTGTATAATAATGGATTTAAGAACTGAAGAGAACGGCATTAGCCGTTGGTGTAAATCGTCTAGAAATGTCCGTTGT